CTATAATGACCAGAGTCATTAAACAGTTCCAATTAATAATATAGTAAAAAAATAAAATATGAATAAAGCACTTCGCATGTTCAAACAATTTGCGCAGTAAACAGCTGCTTGGCATATCAACGTTCACTGCTAAAGATTTTTACATGAAAATATTGTAATTCAGCAATATTGGATTATTTTCTCTCTTTTGAATACTCAGAAGTTTTTCCTTCTAGCATATAAGTTACAAAAACGAATCGACGCCGAGAGTCTCGCTAGAGTACCATTAGATAAACAATGATTTCATATGTATATAGAACAGAGTGCTCTTTGTCTTTAGGTGACGTTTTTGGTTTCGTCTTTGTGAATAGTCTTCAGTCTCCTGGAGCAATCAGGAGAGTAAAGACGGTCCTTCCTCGTACATCAAATTAGTAAACTGAAAGGGATAAGTTTAATTCACTGCGTTTTACTTTTATTTATCTACCCATTTCCAATAAGCAATGTTATATTGTACAATATGTGTATCAGTGAATTGTAATGGGTCAAAACATTTTTCCTTTTTCTATTTCTATACTTTGTTTGAACCTGAATTGTGTTTTAAATCATTGTTGAGTAAATACACTTGAGAGTATAGTCGGACAAATAGGCAGCTTCTTAAGTAATAATATTAAGTAGTAATAATATTAAAAAAAAAAATACGCTCGAAAACAATTTGCAGAGAAGCTAGATTGTTTTCTGTCTGCTCGCCATGCGATTATACAGAGACTGCAGATTTGATGCATTCATGACGACAATGATTAGATGCGATATAAAATAGCAAAAATATTAAGAATCTCGACTGGCATATCAAAAGTTGTGGAATATTTTTTACGAGCACGCTAGACGCTTTACATCGTTCGCTGAATCGTGCCTTAGCCGTATGGATCGAATTTCTAAGCTTGATTGTCGAAAACAGGGCCGAGAATGAAAAAATGTTATTGTTAAAATTGTTACGTCTCCCGTCGAGTTCGCGTGAATGGAGTTCTACTGTAATTACCAAGCGAAATCAATGGCTATAATATTCGAAGATTGAGCTGCGAAATGAAGTTGCATCGTGGCCCCGCCATGTACGAATCGGTAATACGTGTTCGCTGGCGAGGAGTCCCTCGAATGATAATAAAAGAAGTTAAGAAAGTAGTCAGAAGCGGAGATTGCATCGCGATTATGAGTTGTTATGCGGTCCCGCAGGGCTTTCGTGGCAAAAGAAAGAAGTCGGCTCGCGATTCGTTGGTTCGAGGAGGGCTGAGCTAGGGGAACCGGTGAGCTGGGAAAGGGTTCCTGGCGCATACTATGGGCCAGTTCCCGACAGAGTTTTTAGCCCGTGTGCATCGCACGATGAAAGGAATGACGTCCAACGGCGCTCTCGCGTTTTCGTACCTGTGCAACGGCGGAGTATGTGTGCGCCGCGTGGTTCGTAGAACATGCCCGAAGCTGTACGACTGCCAGACTGTCGTATTAGGAGTGCGAATTAAAGAGGGTTGCCTGCACGTTGCGGCATATTGAATCTTCGGGATCACGCCATCGAACCGATCTGGCTGAGAATATACCGCGAAGTTTTCGTTCACAATATAACAGAAGCGTGCTATGAAATGCTGCGCAGATTTTGTTACAAAGTTGTCCAAAACTTAACTATCCTCAATTCGCGGAGCATTTGTAGCAATTTTGAATATTTTATACACGGACTCGCAATTTTAGAACTTGTTAAAGAGATACCGACCGAACCACCTGTTTCCTCTGTTTCAGATTTGAACGAATCCACACTTTAATTTTCAATATTTTTATACAATCTTATATTTAGATCCAAAATAGAGAAAACAATTCTAGTCTAAATTTTGTAATTGCGAATGTAAGTAAAGATTCTATTAATTGTAGTATTATATAATGATAGAGTTCTAAGAGAGTATTTGGTATTTAGTTTAGCTTACACGAATCAGACTCCCTAATACCCCTCCCCCCGCCCCTAGAAAACCATATCAATTGTAGTGCTTATTCCCACGTGAAATTTCTTATCTAGAACGTGAAGGTAGAGATGAATGAAATGCGTTTTCCTAGTATTTTTACTCCACGTTTAGAGACACAATAGAAGTGTAGCTATTTGTCCGATTAATCTAATCATCCATCAAAACTCTAGATACGACGTAAAGTACTCTGGTTAGCGGATGTGTATTAAGAAACCGTTCGTTTGTTTGAAGAATTCCAGAATCGCGTAGGCACCGTACAGGAAGCAGGCGATTCTTTTATTGCAGTAACAGTGCTGCACAGGTCACACGAGATGCCGGAAAACTTGATACAGCATACTGAGCCGACGGACTCGAAATATAGCGCCACGTGATAGCTGACGCTCGGCGGACTCACGTGCCGGCGTTTGGCATGACATTTACTCTTTCAGCGCGGATGATCGATTATGGATTTTAAAGAGCGTCGGCTGCGATACGCTCAACAAGTAGCCCGGAACATCATGCGTCGTAAAACCTCGGCAAAGCGACGATTTTCACTTGCGCGGGCTTACATCAATCGTTCTTTCAACGTATTTATAGCGGCTTTAAAGTGCAACTTTGTTCGAACGAGTTCGCCTGCAGGTGTCAACGAACGATTCTGATCTGCTTCGGCTTCCGTCAATTTTTTATTTGACGTATTTATAGCAGCTTCGAAGTGGAACTTAGTTTCAATGAGTTTGTCTGCAGCTGCGACGAATAATTGCAACTGATTGCTATTAAGAGAACTGCACGTAATTAAACTTTCAACTCCGTTCAGTACTCGCCCACGCTGATTGACATTCGAGAACTTTTACGATAAACAAAAACCTGTTACGCTGGTCGGAGCTTCGAAGCTCGGACGCGAACGCAGCTTTTCTGTCGGTGCTTGAAAGTACGCCGACCAGCGCGCAATACCTGTGATAGCATTTATGGTAGAATCGTTGTTATGTTACCGCGTTGAAGTGCAATTTTCTGCGAGTCCACTTCACCGAGTCAATTTATTATGAAAGTTCGTTCGATACGCGAACTACTTAATAGGAGCTAGGTCTGATCATAACTTACCGTATCCCCTTATAGCGAACGTCGATGTATGTATTATATGTAGTATGTCTGACCATCTCTCTTAAAAGCGTTCCAAGTACGTCGTAGAAACGGAATAAGAACGCAGTCTTTTGTACAAATGATTTTAACGAGACAAAATGGTAACAGTCTTCTTAAATTCTAGAATTTCCACGATTTCGTGCTTCATTTAAACAGTTTAAAACCTGCAAAAGCTAGTGATCACTATTCCACAGATATTTATGACAATTTTCTAGACACTGATCTATAGAATTATACAGAATTCCGCTTCGTACACTAAGAATTCTTCTACAATCACAAAAGTGCCAATGCGATCTCGATCGCTACCGAAAATTCCCACTTTCCAGTTTCAATGTCACGAAACAAATTGTTTATTTAGTGTCTCTATGGCGACAATCATCGCGTCAGAAAATCAGTAGAATTCAGTAGAAAATTAGTAGAAAACGAACTTTAGCGATTTCAAGTAGTAGATGCAGTAGATGTCGAAGTAGTCGTATAGCACGGGGGACACAGTTTCATAGGACGTTCGTGAATTACCGCAGAAAATTCGATCCAAGACGACGATCCACAGTTTGTCCTCCTGTTCTCAGGTTGCCCTGGATTGTAGCGGTGTGGTCGCGCGGATGTGATTACAACATCGATCGTGTACGCGCCCTTCCTCAGGATCTACGCGCGTAAATTGCCCGGCAAAAGTAGATAGAAAGAGAGAGAGAGAGAGAGAGAGAGAGAGAGAGANCGACGAATAATTGCAACTGATTGCTATTAAGAGAACTGCACGTAATTAAACTTTCAACTCCGTTCAGTACTCGCCCACGCTGATTGACATTCGAGAACTTTTACGATAAACAAAAACCTGTTACGCTGGTCGGAGCTTCGAAGCTCGGACGCGAACGCAGCTTTTCTGTCGGTGCTTGAAAGTACGCCGACCAGCGCGCAATACCTGTGATAGCATTTATGGTAGAATCGTTGTTATGTTACCGCGTTGAAGTGCAATTTTCTGCGAGTCCACTTCACCGAGTCAATTTATTATGAAAGTTCGTTCGATACGCGAACTACTTAATAGGAGCTAGGTCTGATCATAACTTACCGTATCCCCTTATAGCGAACGTCGATGTATGTATTATATGTAGTATGTCTGACCATCTCTCTTAAAAGCGTTCCAAGTACGTCGTAGAAACGGAATAAGAACGCAGTCTTTTGTACAAATGATTTTAACGAGACAAAATGGTAACAGTCTTCTTAAATTCTAGAATTTCCACGATTTCGTGCTTCATTTAAACAGTTTAAAACCTGCAAAAGCTAGTGATCACTATTCCACAGATATTTATGACAATTTTCTAGACACTGATCTATAGAATTATACAGAATTCCGCTTCGTACACTAAGAATTCTTCTACAATCACAAAAGTGCCAATGCGATCTCGATCGCTACCGAAAATTCCCACTTTCCAGTTTCAATGTCACGAAACAAATTGTTTATTTAGTGTCTCTATGGCGACAATCATCGCGTCAGAAAATCAGTAGAATTCAGTAGAAAATTAGTAGAAAACGAACTTTAGCGATTTCAAGTAGTAGATGCAGTAGATGTCGAAGTAGTCGTATAGCACGGGGGACACAGTTTCATAGGACGTTCGTGAATTACCGCAGAAAATTCGATCCAAGACGACGATCCACAGTTTGTCCTCCTGTTCTCAGGTTGCCCTGGATTGTAGCGGTGTGGTCGCGCGGATGTGATTACAACATCGATCGTGTACGCGCCCTTCCTCAGGATCTACGCGCGTAAATTGCCCGGCAAAAGTAGATAGAAAGAGAGAGAGAGAGAGAGAGAGAGAGAGAGAGAGAGTGGGGGGGGGGGTGTTATCTATCGTTTTCGTTCGGCGTTAATACGAGTGGCCAGTTAATCTCGCTTTGCTCTCGTAACAAAATCGCGACGATCCACGATTTCGAGTTTGATTCCTTCGCTCAGTTTGCTAGTATCCTCCGGCTCGGGATAATCAAAAATGTGTTGTGTGCTTCGGTAGCAGTCGGTCGACGGACCCAATAACCAACGATGATTCTCGACACCGATCGATCGTGCTGGGAATCCAGGATGCACAGGATGTACGGGACATTTGGTACGTGATACGGGGATTTGAATCTGTTTCGTGCTGATTTATATCGCTGATTTTCTCTGTCGTTTCGCTGGATCGCGAGTGATTCGATCGGATTGTATTTTCTCGTTCTCTGTGAAATTGACCTGGATTGTTATAGTGGAGCATATGTTCGTGTCTTCTCAATTGAAGTCTGGATCGTGATTTCGTAAATTCCTTTACAAGGGAATGTGAATTTTAAACAAATAATGTTGCATTGGCACAATGCGATTTGTATTTATCAGTCGATCGATAAAGATTTTATTGTTCACTTGTTATTCATAATTAAATGGGATCAGTGTACGTGTTATTGTCGCGAAGATCAAGATGTCAGCGTTTCCCTAAGCAGTTTTCTATGACAGTTTTTAATATTATTAAATTAAATATTGTTAAATTAAATATTAATCATCTTTCTGTCACCGAGGCTTACTGCAAAACAATCGGATTAAATATAGCCGCAAACGCGTTATATTTATCACCGCGTACCAGTTCTATCGCTGTCCATTATCTTACTCCACAGTGTTTATAATGTGTCAGAAATACCGAATTTAGAATTCACTTGTAACTTCTGTGTTGGGCTTCCTGTGTTGTAATTACCGTTGACAAGATATCCGGTGGATACATAAACGTTAGAGACACCGATAAGCGGTTAAGATTAATTTAGACTAATGACAGCTATTAGTCAATATAATTTGGTTGCTAAAAATGGCTCGGTGAAATTCAATGGATTACCTTGTTATCGGTACAGTGATACGGTTTTATCGTTGACCCGTGAAAACCAGACAAATTATACAATATCTTATGATTAGGCCACGTTGTCTGCCTATTATATTGTACAGTGGAACAATAACACACTCTGAGATTTCATTTTCACAACAGAGAATCTTTAAATTTTAATGTATTCCAGCTATCGGTTCTCATTTTTTTTTCCTGTAGGATGGAAGTGTTCCAAATATGGCGGTCGCGGTGACATCGACATCGAGTAAACACGTCTCTTAATTACTCTGCCTTGCTGAACGAGGTGTCCCTCGATACGTGAATCGATAATTAAGAACAAACATTTATGGTGACGCACGACGATGTTCGCGATTTTAATTTGTTTGCACTGGATGGATTAAAATTAACTTCCCGTAGTATGTTCGTGGTTTAGGTAGTAAAACTCGGAAAAAGAAAATTGTGATTTCAGTGAGCCAATGATGGAGGATATCGATCAGCGGTTTCTTCGAGGTTGCACAATGATTAACGGATCGCGAGATGCTAGTTGTCGACTAGAGGATCGAGTGTAATATTTACGGTACGCCGCCGATAAAAGCATCAGGCACGCGATTACACGTTTACGAGCGATTTTACTTGCATTCTCACTGTTTTTCACTCGTTTCCCTGATGGATGATGCCCACCGATTCGTCCTGGTTGCGAAAGATCTGATACGCAATATTTTCTCTTCGATTCTTAGGAATCGTTTTACACAGACCGTTATCCTGTAGAAATCTCGGCAATTTGTTCTGCTATTTGACAAGATTGTGCCAATCGGCCGGAAGTCATTTTCATATCATTTCGTTTGAGGAAAGTCTGATGCGCACTGTTTTTAATTGGTCGATAGAAATTTGACAAAGTTAAAGAATGTTTTGTGCCCTTTTTATTCTATTCTAAATATTGTTCTATTATTTCTATGGCTATGTATTAGGCTCTTGAAGTAATTTTAATTGAGGTTTATATTAAAGGTTATCGAAATTCCAATTATAAAGCGAGAATAACGCTATCAGAAAACTCTGTTTTACGAAAAACGAAAATATTTCGATCGTGTCTATCCCAGGAAACGTTTAACGAATATATTCTTACATTCCAAAAATGTTTAATTTTTATGAATTATATTTATCTGAAATATATAATCCTAAAAATCCTATAATCCTCAAAAATATATTGTCCGTAAAGTGAGAAAGGGTTGTAGCTTCCGAAGAACAATATTTCGAATAAAATATATACCGTTCTTTTGAGATACATATGAATTTATATTTTTATCAAAAAAACCTACGAGAACTATTTCAAGCACCTAATAGCCCTGTTCTCGATTTGTTATGTAAATGCAAAGAATTTTTTCAGCGATCTCGCTCGCGATAGTTATCGAACGCTTTTCGCCGAGGATAGGTCACGTGATTCTTGGTAGTAAGACATGCTCCTTCGTTGCTGAACGCAAACGCTTGAGGCAGAGACGCGCGAATGGCTTCTTAGTAACTTTACATGGTATCAGTCAACTGTCAGTGCAGCCGGAAAGTAGGGAAAAAGTCAGTCGAAAATATAGAATATTATAAATATATACAATATATGTATATACATTTCTTCGTTCGAACCTCCATGTCCAAGAAAAGTTATTGTCAAAATATTATTTACTGTTCGTAGATTAGTATTTGCAATAAGTAAATAGCTTGTCAACTAACATACACGTATACAGACTAGCTGTGTTTCAACGATAGTCTCAACGAAGCATTCGAAAGTGTATGAAAAAATATGCGATAGAAGATCGATATTTAACCAGTTAACTGTTCTTGACGAGTATACTCGTCGTAGCGCAAAATGTCGCCGTTTCTTTACGACGAGTATACCCGTAAAAGTGGCTAACTGATGATGGAGAATATATACATACTTTGATATTCATTATTGAAGTATATATTTTATAAAAGCGTCGTATCTCAACAAAATATGAAGAAAATCAAACACATACAATATAATTACACGCTTCTTAAAGAGATTGCAGACAGCTAACTGGTTACTCGAATTAATACATTTCAATGCAGCCACGATTGCCATTAAGATCATGGTAGTTGTCGTAATATCTCTTTTCTACACCCGAACTGAATAAATCATTGTACGCCGGCTTACATTTATGGCACGAAAGTATACCCTGAAAGTTTACGGTATGAAAATTCGATCGGCTGAAATCTCGGTAACCGGTACACTTGAGCCGATAACACTGTAATTTGTCGGACACTGGCAATCTCGTTAATGACTGCGCGTCTTCTTGCATCGAAACTGACACAAGGATGCCATCCAGGTGCTCCAGAATCCACTGTGCAGGCCAAATCATGCCAAATTTGTCCATGTAAAGTAAAGACCGTTCGGCGAGTCGAGCAATTAGGGAATTCACGGAATCTGGTTAAATAAAAGGCCGGTTAGGCGATCACGGTGACGGCCTGCCGCGATTGAGAACTGGTTTGTCACCTTCGGGCAAGTTCGCCAGGTGATAGAAAGGTGGTGTGTGTCGACGCACGCGTCACCGATTGGCCGATTATGTCTACGACAGCGTGGGTATAGGGGGGCTGGCGCGACCGAATGCCAGGATCAACCCGATCGATCTACAAAAGTCAACAAGTTCGACCGTTAGTTATCCGCCGAATCGAAAACTCGTCATCCGACCCGCGTCGCAGTCGATGATCGCTAGCGAATGATCGTAGTGGATAAATAGATCGTGCAGCACGTGACGCGAAATGGATCGGAACCAGTTTGCGAGATAATCGAACGCTGTTTTGAGCAGATCGTCTCTTTTGTTGGCACGTTTCTTCTTAGTTCGAACGGAGATTCCGATCTGTGTTACAATCACTGTTGCGGAATAGATCGTCGACATAGCGGAAATAGCGGAAGGAAGTGGTTGCGAAAATTTCCGATCTGAAAGTAAGTCGAACGCGATGGCAGAATATTTTCTTGATATTCTATTTATATTTCTTATTTTATTTTATTTTATCACCTTTATTAAATTGTGAGTCGATTTGTACATAAGGATTTTCTTGTTATTTTTTTGTTTTTTTTTTTGGTAAAATCATAGTTTATATTATGACCAGTACAATTTCTTTCATCAATGATAGAAATTGTGATTCGAGTGTACAAGTTCTACTGTATAAAATGTGTAAATAACGATGAAGCTATGTGCATTTCTCATGAACTCTCGAACTTATCTTCCCTACTTCAGTAAATACGATTTTCCTTCTGGAAATCATCTTTATCAATCGAATAAACCCGAGCAGTAGACTTCATTATCAGCGAGGAAACTAGCAGAAAGCTTCAGCTGATTCCGTTTAAAAGTTGTGAATCGGACGAGATTGCTTACACGAGCCTTTCTATTTACATTTTAATCTTTTTATATGCTCTTATCGTTGTTTCTCCGATCTTGTCATTTTTACCAATTTTAATAAGCCAAAAGTAAGTCAATTATTTGTAATAAGCTAAAAGTAAGTCAATCTCTTTTAATAAGTTAAAAGTAAGTCAATCTCTTTTAATAAGTTGAAAGTAAGCCAATGTATTCTATTAAGTTAAAAGTAAGCCAATGTATTTTATTAAAATAAATATAATAAATAATAATTATAATAAATAATCATGAATGCATGCAATTTTCTGATCGCTTTCAATATCCAAGGCTCTCTAAATCTCGAAAGCTTAAATTTTCCACATTAAATATATAAAACGTCATTAAATAAGTAAATCGCGTTATTCGGTGCACAGCAGAACTCGACTTGCTACCACAGCGATTGACAATATCGTGATCTAGTTATTTAACCTTTTTTTTTATTTCTGGGGTTCATCGACTTACCCAGTCCCCTATCTCGCGTGAGCGCTCGAAGACGAATCGTTCCGCTTCGTTACGAATAAAAGCCCCAGCGATCTTCTCGAACGTCGGATCGTTTCGCAGTCGATCCATTATTCAGAGGAACGCTGGTGAATGCTGCAAGGAAACTTCTCGGATTGCTCCAGAAAACCGAAGCGACGACAAGAAAAATCTCTTCCGCTTGTGTTTCGTAAGCGGCGGCGCTTTTATCTAATGAATCGCGCGGCAAAGCCCACGCTTCGCCGGGCCTCGGATTCACTGTTTCGCGCGAGTGCTCGTTTTATACCAGTTCGATCAACAGGTGGTGTTTTTCGATGGGTCCGGCCAGGGTCCAACGGGAATGGAAAATTCTCGGAGAACAACTTCTGACCGCTTGAATAATTCATACGCGAGAAATTCGCTGTAAATTCTAAAGAATACAATAGAAACAATTTGAAGCGCTCGAATAGATAGACAGAGAGAATTTACGAAGTTCGTACAATCTTTTGAGAGCGTTGTTTGGCACGTAAACTGTGCCAAGGGATGGCTATCATCAGACTGCGAATACTTATGCATTTATGTCGAAAAGTCGGTGAAATATAAAACAGTGGGAGAATTTAATGAATTTATGGAATGACGACTTGTTTCTATCAGCTTATTATGATTATTAAAAGAACGCAGACTCGACTGTTGTTTCTTACAATTGAACATTTATATTTTCTATAATAATTCGCAGTTTATTGTTTATGAATTGACGGGAAATTATGTTGCACGGAGCACAGGTGTTTAACATTATTCATAGTTTCTCTGTACGTGTTGTGTTCCGAAACGAAAGTTTATCTTCGAATACTGCGACGCGGTTTTGCAGGAAGTATAGATAGCGACAGTTGATTTACAACGTCAAACAATAGATAGCAATTATGCGCTACTGGTTAAAGTATTGCCTGGCAAGAAAGTGCAAATTTCCATGTACATTAAATTCTCCGTAATTCCGCGCTAAAATTATGGACAATTATGATAAAAATGGACAATTTGGAAAGAGGAGATACGATTATTCGATCGGCTCGTTTTTAACAGTTATCGATTGTCAACAACCATAGAAACGAGTCGCAAGGCTCGAATAATCGTATCTCCACTTCCAAAATTGTCCTTTTTTGTGCACAATCTGAGCGCAAATTTGGGAGAATTTACTGTAGCTCTTGTTTCTAATCCACTCTTTATTTACATATATTCAAAGATAATATCTCTCACAAGAAAAACAATTCTATTCTCCGCGCGCGTGTAAAAGTTAAACATTGAACTTTGCTTGTCACAATTAGGAAACTGTGACTATGTTCCTGCCGCTATGCGCAGAAAATCATAATGTCGCCGATATCGATGAAATTAACGGAGCGTTTAATTGGACATGTTTCAGAGAGGATGTCGAAGTCAGGAAGCATCAAAGATGGCGAGAAAGGGCCGTACGAGACGGTCGCGGTGGCCGATAAAGGCGGCAACGATGAAATCAAATTGGAGGCGAAGATGTCCCTGTTGAACGGCATCACGGTGATTGTCGGCTCCATTATTGGTTCTGGCATATTCGTTAGCCCCACCGGTGTGCTCAAGTACACGGGAAGCGTGAACGCCAGTCTCCTGGTGTGGATAGCTTCCGGTATTTTCTCCACGGTACGTCGACCCTGTCTTCTCCCCGGTTTGATTGCTTTCCTTTGGCCGTGTCTACTCGCTCACGGACTTCAGCCGACATTGACAGCCTAACCGTGCCTCCGTTCTGACCTAACGCACCCGAGGAATATCACCATTTCTAGCGCAATCTACGATACACCGTTCGCCTCACATTTTTGATTAAAATCTATCGTAGTATCCCCGATATCTGAACTCTCTGTTATTCGATTGCTCGTCTTCTTCTGATCAGTTCGGACAACCGAGGTTCTAATTGCACTCTTAACTTCGTACCCGATTGCTCAGTTATTTTGTATATTGCTTTAAATATAATTATTGTTGCTGCACAAGTTGTGGATACAAGCTTCAATCGACATTCTGAATTTTCAATCAAAACATAGAATAGAGTCTCTGATATCTAAGCTCTCTGTTATCTGGACGTTCAACTTCGTTCCCCATTACTGGGTTATTGTGCACATTGATTTGAAAATAATTGCTATTGCTTCATGATAATAAGTTGTCGGCTCCGGATATAACTGTGGAACTTCGATTAACCGTGATCCGATTATCTGCGGTCTCGATTATCTGCAGCCTTGCTTACCCGGCATCGGTTTACGCGATGTAATTTCCTTGTCCTCTTCTCCACCAACCAGAAAAAAAATTATTATCGCCGTGTTATAGACCTCTATGCACTGAAACACTTCTGTCAATAAAGATTCCTCGCGTCTTCAGAGGTAAGGGAGATATTTAAGTGCTAATTCTTGCCTGGAACCTGCAAAAATTTAGATTGCTTTTTCTGAGACGATTAATCATGGCCTCGCTGTACCATCATAGTGAATGTACGAATTAGGGAAAGTAACGAAGTTAGTAATTTGTAATTGACACGAATTACTGAGTTCTTAAAAGCGTTCGCCATTAACGAATATTGAAGTTTATATCGTTTAGATATGAATTGGATTAGATTTACAGTAGATGTTCCTTAAAACCGTTTACTTTCCATCGGTCCAGCAACCCCCTAAGGTTGCTCATTCTTTGTCAGAACGGGGACCGGTCGTAATGTCTCACGAAATCGGTTACGGTACCGGCCGCTCGGGTGTGTAATGATTTATGGTTGTACAACAGGTAGGCGCGTACTGTTACGCGGAGCTCGGGTGCATGATCAGAAAGTCGGGCGCCGATTACGCGTATATCATCGAGACCTTCGGACCTTTCATGGCATTCATCAGACTGTGGGTCGAGTGCATGATAGTGCGGCCTTGCAGCCAGGCCATCGTGGCCCTGACTTTCAGCGTGTACGTTCTGAAGCCGGTGTTCCCCGACTGCACGCCGCCCGATGATGCAACCAGGATACTCGCCGCTTGCTGCATCTGTGAGTCAATCGTTCACCTTTTATTCACAGTTTTTACTTAATCGTTCCATCTCATTCGTTCCCGTCTTGTTTCTCTATCCTGTCATACATTTCTTAAAGAGGCCGTTAATCTTGTTTGCTGGCAGTTATTAATCTGCTCCAATAAGACGTTTGATTTATTCGATGTGTCTAATTGGTGCTGCAATCTCGTTGGCTGCAACGATAATTGAAAGTTTATGCGAAACGAAGACTTTCTAAGGCTGTCGTCAGATACCGAAGTCAAATGGAAATGTACTTCTCATAATTGTTTCTAAACTCTTCAGATCTTTTTTTTATGGTTTTTGGATTAAACATACAATACGTGTACATTTTGCACAAAACGTGTACAATAGATTGATGAGATTTAAAATAGTGAAAGGATTCAAAGAAATTGAAACATACATTAGCTTCAACTTAATTGAGATTATCTGAGAGAGATTGAGATAGACAATTTTCATTTTGCATACGGAACTGCAAACTAATTCAGATATTAATATGATCTGAAACGTGATACAGAGTAAATTCTTCCTAATTGAGCTCAGATCGTGCACAAAAATAAACAATTTGGGAGAATTCACTATAGTCAGATATACATAGAAATCTGTGTCTCGGATCTCCAGTTGTATTCTTAAGAAAATTTAACATCTATTCCACTTCTAATTTGTATATATTTCGCTATATTATATATTTCGTTGAAATTTATAAAAAACTTTGTTTTATAATGGTTCGGTAAATGAACAAGTGAATGAACAAATAAATGAATAAGTAAATGAACAAGTAAATAAATAAGTAAATAAATAAGTAAATGAACAAGTAAATAAATAAGTAAATAAATAAGTAAATGAACAAGTAAATAAATAAGTAAATA